CAGAGAGGGTCTTGGACTAGGAAATCAGTGCAGATGCATTTTACAACCAGTACAGGAAAATCTTTCTACCTACAGACTAATGAGATTGAAATAACAGTAGACCAAAGGAATTAACTCAAAAGGTTATGAGAATTTTTATAAAGGAAACCAACATGTACTTTTATAAGGATCTTGTAAGACCAGGGCAGCCATCAGGCTTTGTGCAAGACAGGATTGTCAGCTTAGAATGATTTTTCTGTTTTAATAGGAGTTTTGTTTTGACCAAAAGCAAACAAATATCTGTCCTCCTGATTCAAGAAACCTGGAAAGCTGAGCTGTAGCTGTTTAATGGGTCATAGCCACTGTTTTTCCTGAGTGCTACTTTTACAATAGTGTTTGCCCTTAGAATAGCATGTGAAATATTTGTGACCCAACTTGATTTGCTAGTATTGTAGTCTGGATCCCTGTCTCAGGCTATAACCCAGGAAATAGGGGATCACCTGAATAAATGAACAGAAGATGCAATTAAAATAGAGGTGAATAGGTGTGAAAGGTTTACAATCTTTAAACCATCCCAAAGGAAGACATTCTTGACATTTCTCAGCTTACTGAGCAGTGACAGATGAGCTGATTTAGCTGCAGCAGTTTATAAAATGGCATCACCTGACAGATGCCTGCCCTGCTGGGGTCCCTGCAGATGAGGATGCACAGACCTTAGTTCACATTAGTTTAAACTGTCCCTGAGGTGGGTTTAATAATCTCTCTAATGCCCTGCTCTGCATCCTGTGTGTGCATGTGACAACTTTCAGAAGAAGCAGCCCTGTGAGAGCAGTAATGTCTTTAAGTCAATGAAGGACCAGAAATTTGGAGCTCGTCCTCTTTTTTCTGTCACACTCACTTTCCGTCTTGACAAAAAGATTTTTAAATTAGGATGGATGTTCCCATTAAACAACAGGGTTTCAAAGCCAGTTGCCATTTAATAGAATTTCATCAAAATGCCTCAGCTTAATGATATGGCCTCTTACTCATGCACGGCACGACCTGGACTGTGCAATGCTGTTCCTCTCATGCAGTGGAATTCTCAAAGCACAGAACCTTTCTTTGGAACAGATATTCCTCCCAGAGAGCTGGGATAGGAAGAGAAAAGAGACCTTGAAGCAGTCTTTTCAGGCCTCTATCCAAACATGTATACCAACCATATTTTACTGTAGTTTGAAGAGAGTTTACATCACAATGGACAGTAATGTTAGAGGAAATCTTACTTGTCTGTTGTGGTTGTACTCAGTACTCCTAATTCTGTGTCTACACTGTAGAACTTGTGCTTAGTTGTCCTATGCTTCCTTCATAATTAAAGGGGAGAAAGTGACCACAGTTCAGTTCCTTGATTTGAGATGTCAGTTTTATGATGAAAATAATCATTCCCAGCAACAGGTTTTTATTTATCAGTTCTTCATCTCTCACCAGAGGTGGTAACTCAGAAACAGAGATCTAAGTTTGCCTACATGACTCCTTCTCTCAGAGCCTGGAATTTTGTTATTGATGTTTTTAACAAAGGTATTTGAAAATCTTTTTCCTTATATGTTTTCTCTTGAAGTGGAAGGTATACTGCACTTCTGCAACCTTTTACTGTGATAAATACACTGATGTAGTCTCTGTTCAGTCAGTGCTTAATATTAGAAGATGGCATTCCTCTAAGGAGGGAGCGGAAAGAACAGCCTGTGTGGACTCAATATGATCCTACTTATGAGTAAAACCAATATTACTTTAGAGGACTGCACCATTTTCTTGTTGTACTTTTTCCATCCTAAAACATCTCCTTTTGCAAAATGAGGATCCAGACTGTATTATATAGAGTGTGGCCAAAATAGTGCAAAGACTCTGCTCCTTCCCTTGATTCCAGATGATTCTGGAGCTCTGAAAAGTTTGATCAGGAGGTGACTTGTCTCTGATGGTAAAAAAACAACCTAATCCCCCATATATATACTCTTGCTATTCAAGAATAAAAAGTCCCTACAGTGACATCAATCCTAAAATTTGCTTTAGAGTAAGTAAACAAATTTAGGTTGGCATTTAAAATCTTCAGGACACAGATTAGTAAGGCAATGCCTCCAGATGCCTATTGCTGTTCCATGGCAGTATCTCTGAAATTAATTGTTTTGGAACTTAAAGGATTTTCAGAAATATCTGAAATTTTTGAATTCATAATAATCTAATTTATTTCCTGAAATCCTGATTTGTAGGGTTAATCAGTAGAAATGTTTGAAAGAGAGCAAGCACAAAGCAGGTAAATTCCCATTCATGAGACTACAAAAGAGAAAGTAAAGTTTGAAGTCATTCTCAACAAAGGTAGATACACTTCTCTTATATAGGCATCCCTGCAAGCAGTTCCAGCAGTTTGAGGGAGGCAATCCTTCCCCTTTCCTCAGAAATGGAGAGAGGTGTCTGGAGTCCTGAGTTCCTCAGTACAAGAGACATATGGATTTATTGGAGCCAGTCCTGCAAAAGGCACCAACATGTTCAGGGACAGGAGCCTACAAGGTACAAGGACAGGGCAAGAAACCTGGTCTTGTTAAGTCCAGAGAAGAGAAGACTCAGGGGGAAAGTTACTGCCATTTGCAACTACCTAATTAACAAACAAAGATGAAGCCACACCTTCTTGATAATGAATGGCAATAGGATGAGAGGCCGCATATACACAAGGTGAAACATGGGAAATTATGAATTCATACAAGACAAAAAGGTGCTAAAACCCTGGGACATGTTGCCAAAGAGAGTGTGGAATCCATCTCTTCAGAGATGTTCAAGACTCAGCAGGATACAACACTAAGAAACTTGATCCTATTAGACCTGTTTTAAGTAGGCAGTTGGACTGGGTGATCTCTGAAGGTCCCTTCCCACTTAAGTTATTCTAAATATGACAATAATGACCCAAGTTATGCTGCTAATATGGAATGCCCAATGGACTGGGTTTATTGCTTTGTTTTTGTCCTTTTTTTTTTTTTTAATACTGTTTCTTTCTATGTTTTGCCACGAAGTAAATCGTTATAATACTCTCCCTGTGCTTCAATAATTTGAAGTATCTGTTCTCTAAGAATTTTAATCAATTCAGCTGAGGATAAATTTGATAAAGTACCATGAGAGAAGCAGACAAACACTACAGAACTCAGAACTGAACTAATTGAGTAAGATTTTAAACATCTTTAGTTCACACAATTTTGAGCCCACCTGCAGGTGCATTTTCCTATTACTTTTTATTTTTAGCTTGAAACTACAGTCTATGCCAAGAAAGGCTGAAAATAAACCTATTAAAATGTAGTCATGCACAACACCATGTTATAGCATTGATACAAACTCTGAAATTAGTTCACATTATTCCTTCTGCTCATCACTGTGGCATTTAAATGCCAGATTAACTTGAACCTAAAAAAAAACCAGCAATGGATTGTAAAAGAGGGCATTATCTCATGACATTGTACATCGATCCACTTCTAATTTTCCATTGTTTTGAGCAGCATTTCTTTATGCTCCCTTTTTCTATAGTCTCTGGTGAGAGTAAAAAATATTTATGCCGAGGCTGGAGGCTTTGAAACCTTTAAAAAACAACCAATTCCATCAGTTATCATCATCATCTCTCTGTGGGTCTAGATGAGCAGTTCCCTTTGTGTCTACCACAGAATGCTAGTTAACTTCCTGAAGATTTAAGTGAGAAAGCTCAGGGAAACCTCCCAGCTCAAGCTAAGAGGTGTGAAATACAGGTTTTAGGGAAGTCAAAGGGAGAAAATCATAGGAGATGCATCGGTTTTCAGTTGGTGAAGCTTCTCTGCCACTCCTGGAGATGCACAGATATTTGCACTGTGCAAAAAGGCACTCAGTACCTAGCTGGCATGTAGGAACGGTATTCTCATCCCATCATGTGATAAGTAGTGGTCTGAGTTTCAAACTGTCCATGATTCACAAACCCATGGATTAATAAAATGTTTTACTTTAAATCTAAGCATTGCAAATTTCAAATATGGGTAATTTATACAAGAATTTTTTTATAGGAGTTAAAACCTCTGATTTATGGTGCCCTAATGCAAACTCAGATTATGTTCTAAGTGTAAATGCATTGTTTGGGAAATATTTGTGGTAACAAAAACCGTGATCTGTCCAGTTACATCCTCCCACAAGAAATATACTGATACAGACATTGATCCTGTAGTATGGAGTGGCTGGTATTTGATGACAGGATGGCAATGCCATCTGCATTTTCTTCACTAACAGACATAACAAAGCATACCATGATACCATCAAACCATAACCTTTTCAGGAGGGGATAAGAGGATATGATGGAAAAGGAAAGTGAATGCAGCCAACTTTATGGTCCTTTCCACCCCTTCTCCTCTGCCAGAGTGGATGTGCTGTGAGGAGAGGCATTGGCTCCACAGTGGGACATGTGTGATGGACAGAGATAGATTTCTCTGTTGGACTGTTTGCCCTGAGGGTCTTTTCACGAGGACAGCATTACTGGGACCTAATAGTTTTGTTATGGTTTGGGCAAAATGAAAGTGTAGAATGAGATACTGTTGGATTACACATCTAGCTAGTTAGGTGGCTGGAAGGATGAATTGGTTAAAATCTTTGGGGCCATCTGCTTGATCAGAACCACTGAACCGTAGAATCAGAATTGGTTGGAAGGGACCTTAAAGACTACCTAGTTCCAGCCCCCCTGACACAGGGAGGGATACCTTCCGTTAGATAAGGTTGCTTCAAGCCCCATCCACCCTGGCCTTCAACACTTCAGGGATAGGGCAGCCACAGCTTCTATGGGTAACCTGTTCCAGTCCCTCAACACCCTCATAGTAAATGGTTTCTTCCTAATATCCAATATTTATTAGTTTAAAACCATTACCTCTTGTCCTATCACTATACCCCCTTGTAAAAAGAAATGAAAGGCTGTCCATAACTGAAACCTCTAGCACAAGTTGAGACCATAAATTTTAATCTCTGTATTTTATTTTCTTGATACTTTTGCTACACAGGGCAGCTTTTATGTCCCATCTGAAAACTGCATGCAGCATGCATACAAATGGCATAAGGACCTCTGTCTTCTGCTCTTGAATGCTCAAAGAGGACTTCACACGTACTACACCCTCATAATGAATGAGATTCCTGATTTACCACAGCTGAAGTTGGGTAAGTGAACAGACATTTAAAATCACTGAATATTTTACAGTGCTGCATTTTCAACACACATTTCAGTACCAAAATTCTTGGGTTGTTTGGAGAATTAAAAGGATTTTCATCTGTGTTTTCTGATAAGTGTTTATTTTGACACACTGTCAAAGATGACTGACTCCTCAGTTTATGTGGATCCTTTTATAGAATGTAGCCTGATGTGTAGAGGGACAAAATATTTTGATAAATTTCTCAAAATACTTGCCTTTCAGTGACTTTTTGCCTCAGTTGCATTTTGGAAAGTGGAAATTCCAGTTTTGAATGGCTATGAAATCTAAGGAAGACTTTAACATTTTTTTTCCTGAGTGAACATTTTTTTAAAAAAATTGAAAAGAAAAATCTGAAAGGTGATATGAGTGGTTTTGAATCTTATTCTTTTCTTTATAATTCACAATGTATTTATCCCTTGCCAATTACATCTTGGTCTTCAAAATCATTCTGATTTTCTTTCTAATTCAATTGTTTAATAGATTTTCTGGTTTTGGCAGAAGCTCTTTTTGGCTAGTCAGGCCTGTTAGGTCCAGTGTGAAAGTGCTGACTGGAGCTCTGTAATTTGTGTTTAGTCATCTTTGAAATGACAGCACGAGCTCCTATGAAAATGAGAGAATTTTCTGACTAATTCCTGCTCTCCCACCTGTTTCTTTAAATTCAGGAACTGTGGCCCATAATTTCTGCATTTTTGAGCCTTTGTATTTCTGTGTGCAGATTTTGAATTATCAGTTTGTTATACTGCAGAGATAATTGCATTAGAAGGGTCAATTGCATTGGCCAGCAGATTTTGAAAGGGAGTAAAATCCATTTTCCAGTATAGTGCTTGTATACAAGAACCATCAAACACAGTATATTATGCTTCACACACTTATGGACTTGATAGTGCCTATTTTCCACTCCATGTCTTGTTTCCCAACATATATTTCCCTTCAAGGTAGCCTAAAACTCATAGGGTGGTAAAAGCATATACTGTGTTACTCAATCCAGCTACGAGAGGAAAAAAAAGAAATAACATTTTAATTTGGAATTTATGAGCTCTCTGACAGAATACAATGTGCAACAAAGCTCCTGCTTCATGCATCTTAATTATCAGGCACATATAATAAAAGATTTGTGGCTCACTCTGACAGAGTTATAGGTGTCAGAGTTATGTTTGGTTGGTTGACCACAACTCCAGGACTGCCCCAGAGCACATACTGGCTTTCTAAATAAAATTTGTTTGAATTTCAAATGACTACTGCTACAGAGGCAGGCACTGCATTTGCAAACGTACTTCTTGCAACACATGCAAATTTGCTAAATTCAAATACCCTTTTCAGCCTCTTGAGCAGAGTGCTATTTGTATCATTTTATTCACAGTCTGAAAACCTACTGAAGATTTGATTTTAACACTGATCTTCTGATACCTGTTAGAAAACTCATTAAAAGATTCACGCAGTGGGAGGGATGTAAATCAAATTTTTATATCTGTCTCCTTACAACTATTGGAGTGAAACAGGCCCATTTAAAAATATGTTGTCTAATGCAGGTAATGCTTTCTGCTTTGGGATGGCATGAAATACATCTTGTAATTGCTATATTTACCCACTGACTAGGGGAAAAATGTAAATGACTCACTCAACTGTAACATCTATGTTGGTCAGATTAATCTCATCATAGGTTTCTACAGAAGTTTAAGATAAATCCAAGATAAATCTCTGCACACTTCCTTAATTATTTTTTCCTAGCTCCCTGAATAGTGTATTTAAAAAAAAAAAAAAAAGCTTAGTTTAGACATTAAAAATGGTAATGATTATTTCCCAAATTTTACCAGCTAAGATTAGGTCTTTTCAAGGCGGTCTGATCTTGGCCTGTCCTTTCCCATTTATTATTACTATTTGAGAAGAGTCATTTGGGCACTGGGGAGGGGATTGGCTTGTTGGTTCTTCTGCCTCGTTACTGCCTTTTTTTTTTTTTTTTTTTATGGATACTATTATAAAGTTCCACTTTGCAAAATCAAGCTGCCAAAGTTACAGAGTTGATTGATGTCCTCCTTTGCCTCATAGTCCATGGTGCATTTAAAGTGGAGTGTCCCTGTGCTGGATTCTCTCAGGACTGCATCAAAACACTGTTCCTTGCTGTAGGAGTAATAGGGTGCTTCAAACTTCACAAGGCAGTGCAGAGATGCCCAATCTTTTACTAGTCAAGCATCTGGTATCGCTGCACAGTCCTCTGTAACCACCACTTCTTGCACATCGTTTGCTCAGACTTTGCATTCAGTTCTGCAGTTGTTCATAAATACCAAAGGCTAATAAGAAAATGCCTAGCAAAAGAGAGAGCAGACAATGAAAAGCCAAATTCTGTTATCTTTGTCCTCATAACAACAACTTCTACTGGTTTAGTGGTCCAGGTTTCATGAGCAGAAGTTGCACCTGTACCAGTACAAGGTGTGTTGTGGAGTGCCCACACCCAAACAGGAACTTGCCTGTCAGGCAAGTGACAATTGACCGATTTCTCACATGAATAAACACCAGAGCATTAACATTTCACGTCTACTGTTCTCAAACCTGAAATTTTTCTTTGTTTCTTTTTTTCCCCAGAGGAGCTATCTGTGGAAGAGACGTTTTCCCAGCTTTGTATGGAGCTGCAGGTATTTTCTCCAGCAGAATCTGCCCATAAGATTTTCAGGTCCATTTTTCAAGTGCACTGAGACAGGCCAGTCACATATCAGAGCGGGGAAAAAGGAAACATGGTGCCATTAGAAAGTTTGTTTCTCTTCCACCAACTATTTCACATCATTTTGATTAGTCACATACAAGGTGTTCCCTGTCACTTTTAACAAGTCACCAGCTGGATTACTCTAACATCCTTCAGTGAGCCTAGCCCTGAGTATCAGTATGAAGAAAAAAATTATTTGGGGTAGGTTGCAATTACAGCTTTTCTACTGACAGGAGAAAAGATGCTTTGGCAGGTTGTACAACCATATATTTTCAAATAAAAATACCTAAAACTACAGGGAAGCTCATGGGAGGAAAAAAGTTATTTTGTTACAGAAGTGACTGAACTACTCTCTTGAACTTACTTCTACCAAGTTTATTTCAAGTGAGACATAGACAAGTCATCAGGGGTGCCAGGGAGGAGTGCAAGCAACAGCTGATCAGCAGAAAAAGTGTTTTAGAATCAGATACTTAATAGATTTTATTCATCACAGAGTCATAGAATCATTAAGGTTGGAAAAGACCTCCAAGATCATTGAGTCCAACCTCTGACCAAATATCACCATTCCCAGTAAACCATATCACAGAGTGCCACATCTACTCATTTTTTTAACAATTCCAGTTTTGATAACTCCATCCCTTCCCCAGGGAACTGAATTTGATAACAAAGAAGGAAGATGAGTCCAAACATAACAAGAAATCCATTTAAAATCATGTCATAAATTGTGCAGTAATGTTTGTTAACCATGGCTAAAAAAACTGAAATAAAAATTTATTAGTTTTAAGTCCTAACTTGGATAATTTTCAGGAAATCTCATTTCACATAAAATTGACTTAGATAAACAGAAGTTCAACTTTACTAGGTTTAGAAGCTGTAATGGTATAGGACAGACAACACAATTTAGAGTCTTCTTTGGACTGATTTTCTGAGTCTATGAAAGTCCAGTTTGGCTTGACATACATCAGAAAATTACATCATTTATTTCTCTGTATTTTCCATTTCCTGTCCAATTCTTCTTCCTAAAATCGTAATGATTTTTTTTTGCATGGTAGTATTAATAAAGCCAGTCTGCCTTGACTGGTGCTTGAAATTTGATGAGGAAAGTGTGGCAACAGATAGGGGAACAAAACAGCCAGAACAGCTGGTTCTATGGGTTTTCCTGTGTGGAAAATTTCCTGCAGGAAAATGTTTTGCCTTAGTCATAGGATGATGTTTTGCTATGTATCTATTTGATTATAAAGACAGTGAATATGCAGGGACTTGATACAGAGGTTGAGACCTTGCACAATATTGGTAGGACGTAGGTGCAGCCCTGACCATCTCTGAAGTGTCAGTGCATGGACCTCTGTGCTGTACAGATTAGTATTGCAGTGCTCTCCCTGTATTTTGCCTCTAGGAATATGTGAACTGAAACCAATTTTTTTTTTTTTTTTCCAGCAGAACATAAGAAAAGCAGTCATTTATAAAGGAAGAAAAAGCTATTAGAACCCATACAGAGAAAGGCCTGTGGGGTTAGTCTCCCATTACCACTGTGTTTCCAGAGCCCGGTCGATTTTTAAATTTAAATACAAATACAAAAAAAGAAAAAAAAAAAAAAGTGACTTTAACCTGACATGACTTTGTATTCAAACTGAGAACACAGCAGATGCTCAATATGGGAGAAAGTGGAAGGGAAATAGTTTTTCAATTGTGTGATTGATTGATTGATTGATTGATTGATTTATAAACAAAATAGGAAAAATAACTCCCCAAAAAGCCCTGTTAATTTGTTTTGTGTGACAGCATTGTTAAAACCAGAGTGTCCACCAGTGTGGGTTTTGAAAGCTGCAGCACAGGGCACAGCCTGGCAGCAGGTGTGGGGATGGAGTCAGACACAGCTGGTAATCTTTTTAATTGCTGGCTCTTACTGTGAGAAACAGTCCCTGGGATTTGACCTGTGTGTAGCAGTGCAGTAGAAGCAGGCATTCTTTTCCTTCCATTCTTCTTTCCATCTTTCCTTCTTCCTTCCTTCCATCCTTCCTCTCTGATGGGTTCATAAGTTTAAGAACCAATAAACTTGAAAAATAACCATCACACAACCACTCCTAAAATGACTTGCATTAATAATGTATCTTCCTTGAAGACTGAGCTTTCACTTTATGATGTAAGAAACTGGCTTAAAAAATTAAAAATTAACACTGAATCAGAGCATATAAAATTGGGTGCCATAAATAAAGTACTTCCCTGACTATGCAAATGGAAACCTTTAGGCAGGATCTTTTGTTTCCAATTATCCCCCTAATTTTTCTAGTACCAGAATGGATACTGGAGCTTGTGCCATTTTGGACTAGTTGTTAAAACAGAATAGCATCCAGGCAATGTAAACACAGTGACAATATCTGTGTTATCCACACACAAATTTTCTCTGCTTTTCTCACAGGCAAACAACTTGCTTTTTATCGTAGTTTAGTTTTCAGTGTCATAAATCTGGAAACTATCTGTATAATAAAACATGAAAAATAAGCAGGCTTTCAGCTGGATTGCGGTTCTAACTAAAAGAAAGACCTGATGAAGAGCTGATTGTACTATTTGGTATTATTTCTGAAGTATTTCTGGTATTATTAATGGTTTTATGGAAACACGTAGGGGCCATGGGAATAGACGAAAGCTCAGATCTGCACTCTGTTCCAAAACACAGAGGTAAAATGCAATTTCTGTCTCTCCTTACATTAGCAATTATAAACACACGTTGAGAGAATCAAGGTTGTTCGGCCTGGAGAAAAGAAAACTCCAGGGAGACTCCTTTAGCACCTTCCACTACCTAAAGGGGGTTACAGAAGAGCTGGAGAGGAACTTTTTACAGCAGTATGTAGTGTTAGGACAAGGGGATATGGCATTAAACTGACAGAGGGCAGGTTTAGATTAGACATTAGGTAGACATTTTTTACTGTGTGAATGGTGAGACACTGGCGCAGGTTGTCCAGAAAAACTGTGGATGCCTCATTCCTGGAAGTGTTCAGTGCCAGGTTTGCTGGGGCTCTCAGCAACATGGTCTAGTGGAATGTGTCCCTGCACTCGGCAGGAGGGTTGGAATGAGATGATCTTTAACTAAATCCATTCTATGACTGTGATTCTATGAAACTGTGAAAGCAGGAAGCCTGATGTGCAGAGACTTTGCTGCTGGCATGAGCTTTCTCACTGCAGAGCTTAAGCACAGAGTTGCAGCACACCTGGAGGGCACACAGGGTCCCAGCATATGTTAGTGTGGAAGAGAAGCAACAGCAGACTCTGGGGTGTCTGTTTCCATCATGTGTTGAGGACACAGTGTTTTGGGTTTGGTTTCTTATTCATTTCCCCCCGAGTTGCCCATCTGGCATCCTAATGTGACATGGCTGAGAAGGCTCCTTTTGCTAACAGAGATGGGTCATGGTTTATTATTTCAGAGCATTCAGCACCATCTGGTGGATAATTTGGAACCCACATTCTTTGATTTTTTTTCCTGTTTACTACATCTGCAGTAAACTGCCTGCAAAGATTGAGCCTGTTCCCACTTCTTGCTCTCCAACTGGGTAACTGAGAACCTTTGCACTAAAGTATGCAGCTTTTAAAGAGTAAAAGAAAAAGTCTTACCATCTTTATTTGGAGTAAAATAACCGAAAATCGTAGCTTTATTAATAATACTTCTAAATCTTGAGGAATTTTTGTTGTTGCTGTTGTTCCTAAAAGGACTTAATCCGACATAGAATTGATTCTTTTTCATAGCACTGTCTTGATGTCAGAATTTCCTTTCTCTCCTCCAGCTGCTGAGCAATCCAGAAAAGATAGCAGAACAGATAAGCAAGGACCTTGCCTGGCTTTGTTCTCACCTCCTGACCCTGTGGACCCAGTTCCTAGAGGTGGCAACGCTTCATCCAGAAGTCACAGCTTATCTGACTCAGGAACATCATATGCTAAGGGTAATGATAAGCAAGTTCAGTAATGGTCTTCCCCTGACAGGCATTAATTCTTTATCTAGATGTATATTTCCAATAAAATTCTGCCTATATGAGTATTTATGGGAAATGGGGTGAGCGGGACAAGAGGCAAAGAAGTGAAGCCCAGGATCTGAAATTACAGATTTCAATTTCTGGAATGAACACTTGTTGCCTTTGTGCAACTTGGGATCCTACTTAAAATGAGTGCACTTCAAACACCAGAATTAGACAAGGAGGTGGGTGGGAAGAGGTAGATATCACCTGTACTTGTCAGATATCCATAAATCATAAGAGTTTGTTTTAAGAGTCACAAACATTAAAGTGACAAATAACCAAAAATATGATTTTATCTCAACTACTTCCACAAAACTACCATGAAGAATATAGATTTGTTCTCTTATCTTTGTCACATACATATATATATAGCTATTTGCCTTTTTCTCAGTGAGGTGCACACAAGCAAAATACTAACATTGCTGATGTTGAAATTGCTTCTTGTACTTGGTAATAAAGAAAGCACAAAAACAGTTGTGATTTGAGTTAATGTTGTCAGATCTGCTTATCTGATTAGTTCAGCAAGTACTTTGTCTTTCATTAGGATGTCCTTGGTTATTGACCAGACATCAGTTCAGCACATCCCCTGAGCTGAACTCGGTCTGATCTAATCATTAGAGTAGTGACAATAGGGAAAAGGGCAGGATTCACCTTGCTTAGCTTTAGGAGTGTGTAATGAAGGTATTGACATCTCGGCTTATGTTTTCACTCCTGTCAAAGTTAGTGGAGGTCTGCTGACTCTCCAGAGTGACCAGAACAACCCTCCAGTTTCTCTCCCCAAGAACAAGGTTAAGCTGGTTGCCCTGGTTAGTCTGACTAGGTCTGCCTTGACTCTGGGAGGACCTGGGTGTTTTTCAGCCAAGGGACCCAACTCTGTACGCTCCCAGCTCCAGCAAGTTGGATCCCAGCCTGTGGTTCCTTCCAGCCTCGACTGATGCCTACTACCTGCTTGACCTTTGTCAAATTACATACCCTTGTATGCTCCACATAAATTGTTCTTTCACACATAAACGGTGTGTAATTATACTTTTCCAGCTCTGGAAAACACTTTGAGAGCCCCGGATGAAAATTCCTACTATTAAGATACAGTGATTTGAAGTGATTCTAGTCCTTTTTTTCAGAAAGACCATTTGTGAAAGCACAGCTGGGGTTTAGGGAGAGGCTGAGATGCTGTGACATATGCTTTTTTCTGCAATTTTCTGTCATTGTAACAGAGGTCACTTTTACAATTACTGTTAGGAATGTATGGGCTGCAGTTTAACAGCTCAGTACATTTGATTGCATATTATGCTTGATACATTTAAACTCAAAGCTTATTCCAGAGGCAGATGACAGCACTGAGTTTTTTATAGCTTATTTCACACTCTGTGCTCTGCCAGCCACTTCAGATCCATGGCTCTTTTGTAATTGATTATCCAACACTGAACAGATCTAATGCCCATGAAGGGGTTTGAAGAGCTCTCATTTTGTAAGCATCATGACATAGGCAGGTGTGTTTCTACCATGATAGGGCTTATTCTCCTCTGGACTGATATGTATGACTTCTTTTGCTGTCTTGATGGTTTGAAAGTCACTGTGAGTCACTGTGGATATTCCCACAGAGGAGACAATCAATTGTTCTAATTTAGTTGTTGCTTCACTAATGATGTACAATTTTCATACTGGGAAAGGAAGAAATCTTCCCTACTTTAAGAACATGGAGGGAAATGGTAAATTTCCCAGCTTTTAGAAAATTAGTCAGAAGATGCAGATAACCAAATTTTGATTTATTTTCAAGGGACACTTCTTACCTCACAGCAAAATATGCAACAACATCAGCTGCCTTGTACTGGACTGGGAAATTGAAGCAAAATTGAACTCTTTGGTTTTTTCTGTCAACAGAATGGTGCTACCACAGTGAGGAATCTGGTCCTGGCAGTCACTGCTCTGTTATTAGACTCGTTGTACTTGGAACCTTTCAGCAGATCTTAGGTTTAACTTGTGTGTTTCTCCCTCTCAGGTGAGGAGATTCTCAGAAGCCTTCTTCTACACTGAGCACCAGAAACCTGCTGTGCTCACATTCCAGGAAGGCTTGTAAGTAACCCACTAACCCTCCCCTGTCACTGGAATTACTGAAAATTTACTTTAAAATGTTTTGCAGTGAAGATTGAGGTATTTTTCTGCTGGATATGGAGGAGTTTAGTTTGAGAGAAGTCAGTGGCTCTGTTTTAGCTCCATATTGTAAAACACTCGAAATGAGTTTCAAAAGTAAGTGACTCTGATCAGACCCCAGAAAGAATTAATTTCAAGCTTCATATATACATATATTCCTTTCTTCAATTAAATTCCTGAACCAAATCCACCAGATCCAGCAGGGACAGTTTAATGGGAAACAACTACTGGGAAGAAACAAATCCTAACATTTACAAATTCTCTCTTTACGGACCTTATTATACATTTCTGGGGTAGACAGTCATGGATTTCTTTTGATGTTTAGTCCAGCCCTACTTTCTATAGCAGAAAGGATATTTAAATGTCAACAGGAGTATTAAACAGCCAATGCAAAGCTGTGGATGTTCAGTAGATGCAGCAGTGGAGGGCAGGAATGGGGAATACCTACTATATTAGCAGGAGAAAACATGGGTGTGATATGATTTCAGGGCTGATAATGAATTGACCAAGAACCAATTACATAAAACAGACAAGGATGTGGAACTGGGCTGCATTCATAAAAATATACCCTAAAACACTGGCAATGTAAATATTTCCCTCTGCTGGACACTTCGTGCTTGCAACCAAGTAGGGCAGCACGTGGAGCCAGTTTTAAAGCTGCACGAGGGCAAATTTTGCCCTTAGTTTTAGCCAATGGTCCAAAGTGGAGCACATGGATAATACTCAGGACCTGACACCTGAAGGCAGAGTTCAAAGAAAGATCCTTAGATTTGAATTTCTGAGTAATGAGGAATGTCCAGACTGTTTGTCTGCTGAAACAGCCTGTCACCATGGGGGGACCACAGCATTGCCAGTGTGGAAACCCATCTTTCAGAAGGGGTTTAAAGGCCGTGACATCAGCTCTGCCACAATTATGAGGCTTAAGTGAGACATTTGCTTCTGACCCAGTGCAAAGAAGAAAATTGCTTTCTCAGAGCTGTCACTGGGGACATTAAAGCTGATTCAGTGTTGATGGAAAGGGATGTGACTTCATTAGTGGGTGAGTTGTACAAGGATACCTTGTTCTGCCAAATTAGAACAGCACCAGGGCTGCAGGTGCCCAGCTGTGTTCACTTGCTTCTCCCACGTCAGGATTTTAGTGAGCTGTGTACAAGGAAAACCCCCATGTCAAGATCCTGGGGTGAAGGCACAGACACTCATGGCCCCATTCAAACAAACATGACCCTGCACAGGAGGAAGCCTAATTGCATGAAGTGCTTTTATTTCTCCAGGCAGCCACAGGACTAGCCTATTTCCTACATATAAACATAATGTTTTTCTGAATGATTATCAAGGAGACTCAGTAAAAAAAAAAGTAAAATTGTTTAAAAAATTAAAAATTGGTCTGTGTAGTAAATTCAGTCTATATAGGCCTTGTGGCAGAGCCATGTTTTCTTTTTGAATTTGCTAGATGATATAGTTGGAAAAACAGTCTTAATTGTCAGATTACTATTAAGGTTGTGGGTGGTAGTAGTATTAGTTGGGTTCACAGAGTCTCCAGTGGAGATCTGTGCTCAGTGTGCCAGGTGCTGTACAGCCACCTCGAGTAGTAACAGTTTTTTCCCCCAGTTCTTTCTTCCTTCTTACCACATTAGAGCTGGGTTGTGCCTCCTATACTCTTGTGAGTTTGTGTGAGGCCGTGCACCTACATGTCTGGTAGCATTTGACTGGTTAAACACACCATTTCCAATATGCTGGGTATTGGCTAGGGTGGAGGCCTCTATCAGGTGATATATCCTCCCTAGATTTACAGACAAAAATGCTTTTATTCACTCCTTTTGATATCAATTATTTGTCTTTTTCACAGGGGCATGTAATAATCAGGCAGGGGGTAATGGCTTTAAGATGAAGGACAGTAATCTCAGATTAGATATTAGGAAGAAATTCTTCCCTGTGAGAGTGTTGAGGCAGTGGAACAGGTTACCTAGAGAAGTTGTGGATGCCTCATCCCTGGAAGTGTTCAAAGCCAGGCTGGATGGGGCTCTAAGCAACCTGGTCTGGTGTTCCTGCCAGTGGCAAGGGGCTGGAATGAGATGATCTTTAAGGTCCCTTCAAACCCAAACCAGTCTATGATTCTATTAATTAACATGTCAGTGATAAACTTATTGGGGTGCTAAAAGTTAACTCCAAACACCCAGGTGTTACTGCCAGCAAAAATGATCAGCTGTCTTTTGGAGGCTCCTGTCTGAGTCATGTTTTAGAAACCAATGACTTGTTTATCTCTGACTAAAAAATAACCTGTCTACAAGTAAGAACAAATGACAGATAGCAATAATTATGATCTGAAGTTGGAGCTGATATCCTGCTCTGAATAAATTATTTGTGTCTGGACATAGGAAACTTCCATTCTGGCATGAATTCCAAACCTGCTGTTTGAGTTTTGGTTCATAGTGTGTGAAGTGCATTTTTACAGTTAACTACCACTTGATAACCTGCCTTTTACCAATGCTAATCTGAAGTATTGCCCCTGCACTGTCCTATGGGATCTGTGCAGATTTACTTTCAGCTGACCATCCATGAAAGGCTTGTTGCCTTCCTCTTCGTATTTGATGCATTTCCAATTTTTTTTTTTGAGACAGATGTTTAAATAAGAAAGCTCATCAGGATTAAAATTTATTGTATTTATTAAAGCTGAACACACTTTCCTGTTCCAGTTTAATGTCACATTCACTGATGAGAGCCTGGTAGCATTTTGTGTGGCCCAAATGACAGAAACAGACAGGGACCTACAAGAAAGCTGAAGACGGACTTTTTACAAGGGCATGTAGTAATAGGGCGAGGACAAGAGGCTTCAAACTGAAAGAGAGTAGGTTTACATTAGATATTAGGAGGAAATTCTTTAGTGTGAATGTGGTGAGGCACTGGAAGAAGTTGTTCAGAGAAGTTGTGGGTACCCTATCTCTGGACTTGTTTAAGGCCAGGCTGAGCAACCTGATCTAGTGGAAGGTGTCCCTGCCCATGTCAAGGGGGTTGGAACTGGATGATCTTTAAGGTCCTTTCCAACCCAAATCATTCTATGATTCTATAACTCCAGCTCTACCAACAGACAGTGGCTGAACTGATGTATCTTAGCTCTTCCAGATGTGTATGTGTGTGAGATACCACAGTGCTCTGACATCTGGTACAAGTGAGACAGAGGGCCTGCCATGCATCTTCTTGGCTTTGTTCCTCCCTGTGCTGCTCAACCAAATTTTCGATTATTGCTTCCTGCATCTGGGTTTTGAAACTCTGACTTCAGCCAGAGTGACAGACCTTGTTTCCTGACCAGAAAGCCAGCTGAGTGATCCTGTCCCAGCCAGCAACTGTGACCCCTGGGAGGACAGCAATGCGTTATGGCAGCTAACAGGAGCCTGTGGCAGTGGCACCTGGGACAGTTTAAAAAATACTGAGGTCTTAAATAAGGAATTGTGCAAGCTGTAGGTATTTCTAACTGAGAGATCCAATTGTCCTGGGAGGACTGGGTATCTCCTATCATGCATCTTCTCTCTCCTTTTGAGGACATTGACTCTGTCCTCTGCCTGCATATCGGGGCTTGCAGGAGCAATGGAGAGACGGCAGAGTAACTACTCAAACCCTCAATTTGTTTTGTGCTTTGCTGCCAGGATCCAAAGCCACGCACAGATTTCTACAGAAATTCGTAACTCGGAGTATTTCACCAGCATGCCCCCGCTGCCGGCAGAATGCCTCGACATCGACGGGGACTGGAACACTCTCCCAGTTATCTTTGAAGACAGGTACATGGATATGCCTTGCAAAGGTGAGTGAAACACCACAAGGTGCAGCTTCCTGAGACAGCTTGAACTGAGGGAGTTTTGCTGTCCCAGCCCATGATAAGCCATCTCACATCCCTTGTGCTGAGCTTAGAAGACAGTGTGGCCTCCTAAGTAATTCAGCTGAATTCTTCTGGTTTCCATAATAGGAAACTAGAGTATTTCCTTCATATTTTTCATTTGTTTTGTTAAAACAGGCAAAAGCTAGAAAGAAAAGTACATTGTTTGGATTTTTGTTATAGTACAAATTTAAAGGCAAAACACTATGACTGTTATCCCCACTGTGACATCTAGTGGTAAGAAATCTCAGAACAAAGAGACACAGTTCGACTGTACAGCTCAACACTTTCCTGAAAGGCAGCATTGCCTTTCAAAAAATATTTTGCGCTTGATTGCCCAAATCAAAAATTTTAATTAAGAAATTATATAACTATGTGGATTTTTTAGTAAAACCTCAGACTTCAATACCTTTGTCTTTTAACTCAACCATTAACAAGGAAGCAATATGGATTAATATTATAGGTCACCATAGTCTAGTGAACATAACCTGTAGTACAAAATTTCCACATTTCCACAGTTAATATACTGCCTAAATTTTGATAATGGTTTTTATAGATATTTAAATTATTAAACTGAGTATTAAACTGCTTCAAAAGTAAGAGCTATACTGTGGACAATGTCAAATGACAGCAGGAATAAAAAGAAGTATCAGCTTTGTTTCACTTATCTGTGCTTTAAAAATTAAGAATTTATGTACAGTTGTACTGAGGAAAGTGTATTTTACTGCTACTGTTTTCTTTGGCCTAATAAAAACTGTTCAGTGAGTATAATTCTAGTTACATGCACTCTGGCATATGAATTTGTAGTCTACCTTGTTATATATGTATAATTTACATAATATAAATATATACAGCATAATTTTTTAGGCCTTAAAATCACTTTTAAAAGTCCCATATCGCTTTGTTGTGTTCTTACAGGTGCTACTACTATTTTTCTTTTTTTCTTTCAGATCAGAATTTGGAAATTTTCTCAGATTTCGAGGTTCCTGCAAATACTCAAATGGATGTAATAGATGAAAATGAAGACTGTGCATCCAATGATGCCACTGCAGTAATAAAAGGAGACTTTGGGAAAGGTACTCCACTAATACATGACAGGATAAACAGGAATCCCTCATGCCTATACAGCAGTACTGAAGGTGCTGCTGAGGGTTTAAACCAGCACTCCACATCTCAGGTATGTACAGCTAACAAAGAAGGCCAAAGGAAACCTGAAAATATTTTTGTTTCAAGAAGGGAAACTGTCTCTGACTCAGAGCCAGGCAATACAGAACACATGCCAGGAGACTTTGAAACACCCAAGGAAGTTTTATTATTAAAAGATAATAGTCTTGGGGAAGATGTAACTTGTGGAGACACAAAACCTAGCAATAAGGACTCTCACAAAAGTGAGCCTGTGTTAATTGTCAGTGGTCAGTATGAGTGTGGAGCGTGTGGAACTGATGGCTCAGAAGACAGGACTGAAATACATGAAATAGATGAATCTGGTCATCCTGAGAATAATTTCACTTCGTCTGAGCTTGCACTGAATGAGTTGACCAGTCTTGAAAAACCAGAGGATCCGGACACCAAGACTCATCTGCCTGTTTTGAAACCTTTGCCCTCACACTGCTTTGAAGTGAAATCGCTCACAAAGGAGCAGCGGGGTGAGGAGAGCGAAGAGTTTACCCTCATGTCAGGGGCCATTAAAAGATCTTCCTCTATAATATCTGATTCAGGCATTGAAAGTGAACCAAGCTCAGTGGCGTGGTCCGACGCTCGGAGTCGGGCGCTGGAGCTGCCCAGTGATCGAGAGATCCTGCACCACTTGGTCCGGAGGCACGCCATCCACCGAAACTCCCTGGAGGGTGGCCACACGGAAAGCAACACCAGCTTGCCCAGCGGGATCCAAGCATCACTCACATCCATCAGCTCTTTGCCTTTTGAAGAAGAGGAGCGGGAAGTCGAGCTCACCAAACTGACAAAATCTGTCTCAGCTCCTCAGATCAGCAGCCCGGAAGAGCCCACGGAGGAGGTGGATATATCCAAACACAGTGAGGCAACCTTGGGAGACCAAAACTCAAAAAGCTGCATGGAAACAGAGGGTGAAGACCAGAAATTAATGATGGACTCTTCTGAGTGTCAAATCACCACTGAAAGTGGACAAATAGAGCCAAGACGACATCCCAAGCCTCTCCTCAAACACAGTAGCAGTAACACTGAGTTAAAAGGGGAGGAGGAGAAAGGTTTTCCAGAGACTTGCTGTAGTTTGGAAAATGAAAGGCCACCCCTTTGTCCAAAGCAGCTCCAAGAAAATGTCTCTGAGAGCCAGTCACTGGAGAGCAATGGTGAGTGCAGCTTAAAAACACCAAGGGCTTGTAATTACTTGGACCAAAATATAGATAAGTCTGACACATGCATTAAGGATCTAAAGGATAAACTTAAGCTGGACAGTTTAAAAATACAACAGGGCTTCTCCAATAGTAGAATTTCAAGAGAGAAGAGTTTCTCTCAAAGTGTAAAGGTGGTACCAGATTTGTGCTATCCCATTACAGCTCCGTCAGAGACCTCCACTGAATTTGGCTCGCTGCAAGGAGAGTGTGGCAGCTCTCTTGCTGCTGAGAGCCCAGCAGTATGTGCAGAAATGCAGGTGTTACAAGAAATAGAGCTCAATGACTCACCTGCCCCAGCAGACCCTGCAGCAGGGTCCTACCAGGCTGAACATCCTCAGGAACCCAACAGCCAAGAGCATAAACTTGTAGCGAACGGCACCGGGTTTCCTTTGGCAGCGGCGGAGGGAGTAGCCCTGGAAAGCAGAAAGGCTGCTGATGTGGTTAACCTGTCAGTCTCTTGCACAGCCACGTGTCTTCCCTTCTCTTCCGTGCTCAAAGAGACCCCTGCCATGGTCGGCCTCTCTGCAAAGCAGGCTGTGATCCCTATCACGCGCCAGCCCCTGGGCTCCTTCGGAGTTGTCTCTTCTAATTCTGATGAGGTGGACGAAGAGATGAACGAAAGGATGCTGAAGTAAGAATGTCTAATTACTTCATTATTGTAACTGTAATGCCAAGAGACCCTGGCAAAGTTCAGGACCCTAATACATTAGGCACACAGTAACCTTGCACTTGAGACAGTTGCCTGAGGAATTTCAGTATAAATAATCCAAATAGACAAATGTTTTGTATAGAATGAATTATCTAAATAGACAGGAAGGATGAAAACACAGAGAGACCAAGATTTTCAAAGACTAAACAGATTGGCACACTACCACATGTACACTTCTATTATATTTTGGTGTCTCTGCTGTGCTGAGTGCAACAGTAACACTGGAATTTCTCAACCCATTCAGTGTTCCAAAATGTTGGAGCTGTCTGCATGTGCATTCCTTTGAAAGGCAAAGGTTTTTTTTTATTCTTTTGAAAGCATTTTGAGGTTTGTTTTATACACCATGCTGTAAGTCCTGTCTATTTTAAGCACAAAATTTGTTTCTTATTTGTGAAACAGAACACTTAAGCATGTATTCATGCACATGAATCAAAGACCTCCACATCCATCACCCAAAAACTAGTTTTTTCATTCTCATGTCCCTTAAAATTTAGTTTACTTGATGTAAGTAAATGCTTGTTATTGGACTAATTGATCTTAGAGGTCTTTTCCAACCTTAATGATTCTATAAGTGGCCTTAAGCTGTCCCCAAGATTTGAAGCTTTGTATCTCCTAATTTGATCCATCCCATTTTTCTCCCTAATTCTACATTTATGTTGTGTCTATTAATTTCTAAAAGCTCTGGATAAGTTTTGCTAAGTCAAAAGCCCACTGAAGAGTTTTTCATCTTCAACCAGCAGAATGCTTCAGGGTGAATTCAGGTGTCACACTTTGTACCTTTAATAGGAAAGGGGCTAGTTTAATTTTTTGAGCACTGAGCTGATCTTCCTCTAAATGCTACAAAATGTTTGGAAAAGGAAACAAAGAACCAAACCAAACCAACAATATCTATCATATGAGGTGCATCTTTTAACTCTAGTCTGAGAAAGGGAGAGAACACATTCTACCTGACTATAAATGCATCTGATGCTAGTGAAATGACACATTTTTTATTTCATTATCTATAAGGCCAATGACACTGTTAAGATGCAAAATTGTTAATTCTGTATCTTAGTCTCATTGTGACAAGCTACCAGAAAATTATTTTTTCACTACTCTTTCATTCCTCTGGCAGGTGTAAGGTGCTAATGCACTTTAGCTATTCCCTGTATTTAACCAAGTTACTTAGAAACAAACTTTCTTCCCTGCATCCTGATTTCATTCAGTCCTAACAGACAAAGAAGAGTATCCAGGTCTCTACTTGAAAGCTGCAAACATAACTTCTTGCAAATACAAGCCTTCTCATTTCTAGTTTGAAGGTTTGTTGTTGAACACCCAGTTCTATTGTGATTAATTAATGTATTCTCCAGTTTTTATCAGGCCAAAGAAAAATTTAAAAAAGAAATGAAGATTGAAGGATTTCTGTACAGTGACTTATCTGTACTAGCTTCTGATATCCCATATTTTCCACCAGAGGAAGAGGAAGAAAATTTAGAAGATGGAATTCACCTGGTTGTGTGTGTCCATGGATTGGATGGTAAGGCCAGGAGGAATTACTGTTTGTAAGTAATTTTGGAGTAAATTAAAAAAAAAGACAGATGTTCAGCAAGTATGAAAGAATGGGAAGTTTAAGTATTTCTCTTAGCTAAGTATTTATTCCTTACTATGCTATGTGGTTCATTGTAATAAAAGACCTAAGGGAATATGAAATATTTGGGCTAAGAAATGGGGGGCTGTTTGGTTATGTTTAAATAGAATTTTACACCAAAGCATATCAGTCCTCCTGTGTACAGAAGTTCATTACAGTAACTTCTTGCAGTATGTCACCAGGAGGAAAAAAATATTTAACCCCCCAAAACATTGTTATAGGGAAGAGAGTGGCTGGTGTTAGAAAGTGGGAGAATAAAAATCATTATTCACTGCAGAGGAAGCAGATCTTGGAATTTTTTTACATATGTGCTTTCTGAGAAGAAAACAGTTACGTTAAATGTGAAGCTTCTTTTGTCAAATTCTTCATATTAACGGGAAAAATGTAGATTTTAACCTTGAAACTACAGAGAAGGAGAGGTAGAAACTCTGAAATCTCAAAAAAATGGAAAACAAACACTTACTGGCTTGAGCAAGGACTGTTTGCAATTGGATATCTCAGTGGCAGGAATGGCCTCCTCATGAGGTGGCCGTACCTGCTTTTCCAACAAAATATTTCGGGAGGCTTTGGAATTTCCAAGTATGGAATGGGGTATCTCTCTAAATATTAGGAACCTGAGAGTATTTCAGCACCATCTCTAGTTGTGAATACACAGAGATGGGCTACTCTCCATCTGCAGGTACAGCCCTGTAGCCCAGCAAGTGGCAAGGTGTCCCTGGGGGCCACACCATCTGTGAAGATGGAAGGACAGACCTCAGCTTGTTGTCTTTTTCGTCCTACCTCTGCTGTTCAGCAAATAGAAGACAGAGTTATTCTGGGCCTGATCTTTGCCCCTTTTTTCCCACAGCAGCAAGCGAGGTCCAGCCCACCTGGGACAGGCTGTGGGTGTTCTTGCTCTCCCCCTGTTTCAATGCATGGTGTGATAACCTTCTTATCAGCACTTAGCAAGAGCTCCCTGGTGTCAAGGTTGTTGTGTTAAATTGACTCTGTACCTGTTATTTTTCCTTTGAATTGCATTTATAAAATGCCTTTTATTTCCAGGTAACAGTGCAGATCTGCGCCTGGTAAAGACTTTTATAGAACTGGGACTTCCCGGTGGAAAACTGGACTTCCTAATGTCTGAAAGAAATCAGGTAGTACAGAACTAATTTCTGTCTTCCTTTAGATTGCCGAAACAGGGCCTTTACCAAAAGCCTTTTCAACAGCTGAATGAACCAAAAGCACTGGTGAATTCAGGGAATTTTATGTAGCATTTAGTGCAAAAGCCTGGTCCTATTACTGTCTAATTTGATAGGGTGTTCAAACCTATTGGAAAATATTCCTGGCACTAAAGTGAAAGGCAATGACATTAGCAGTAATAGGGCTAGACCTTAGAGGAAGAAAATGGATTTTTCCTGTCAGTTTGCAAACTTGGCAGCCTGGTGCCTCTGCAACACCGCACAGATGGAAAGCAGCAAGTTTAGTGATGGTAAATTCTCTGGAGGATGTCGAATATCCAGCAGGTGTTGTCAGCTCCCTTTGCTGCATCAGCCATTGTTTCTCCTGTTGTTATGTTTGTGAGATTTATTTCCTTGAATGATAAAGAAATGTCTTCCAGAAAAATTGATTGCTGGTCTAGGCAGAGAAACTGAAATGAATCCTGTGCTTTGCTCTGCAATGAACACATATTTATGACACAAAGGTCTAACTTTATGCACAAGATAAGGATTTCCAGTGCCCAGTCAGAAACATTATTCTGATTTATAAGCTGCTGAGAAACTTGAGTCAAAACTTTCCAACCTTCTTTGTTCAACAGCTTTTATATTTTGAAGTGGCTGGTTGGGCTCAGTCTGTGAACTTACCACCTTCCAGCTCACATCCCTGTCATCAGTAGACCTGCACACTGAATGTAAGCAAGGTGAAATAAGTGAGACCACTTCATACTTCCATCAAAACCTCTTCTCAGAGAAGAGAATGTTTTCAGGAGAATAAAAAATCGTACAGTATCTATACTTAACATTATCCAGAGCCCATTAGGGGAACTATTTAGAGGTCTTGTAGTGTGTTAAGGTGGGGAAATTCTCACAGCACTGGAAATAGAACCTGGGTGGTTTGATGACTATTTTGGTGCTGCAAAGCATTCCATCGCTGTTTTTTCCTTTCTCTGAGAACCACACTGAAAATGACTCAAGAAATCCGTCATTTAGTTGCTTTACCTTACAGAGGAAAATGCAAATCACTCATTTTAGGCATTCATTTGTGATGCATGTGAAAAGCTCAGTCAGGCTGAAATGATAGGAAAGGATGGAGGTATAGCCAGGTGAAATATGAAGCTTGATGCGCTTTGTTTATGATTGACGTTCAGGTTGATGTTCTTCCACTTTTGAACAACCTGAAAGGTTTGGGATAATGAGCCTAGAAAGAAATCATTAATTATCAATGCAAACAAAACAAACAGGCAGAAGGTTAGTGGACTGTTTGTAGGTTATGAGAACATTTATTTTAAGTCTCTGTTGAAAAGTGAATACGCTCATGTTTTCCTCTGTAAGAGCTGCAATTAGCAAGATGAGTTGTGTCACAAAAGCATTAATTACTGATATGTTTCAAAAGCATTAATTACTGATATGTTTTACTGAATAGCTGTTCCAACATTTGATGATTGTTTTTGTGGCATCTCATTAGTTATGAATTTGATTTAGAGCCCTGTTGAATTGCCAAATGACACAGTTCTGAGTAAGATCTGCCTGTAATTGTATAGACTGGACAATATATTATTTGTTTTATTGTCTCACAATTGGCAGTACTGTTGCAAGCAACAAATTGTTTGCTTCTCTAAACTCATTCTCTTTCTGATGGCTGTTGAATAACAAATGCACAGCATTTGATTAAGATGGCCAAATAATTTCATGATGACATCCTGATCATCAGCATAACTCTCATGTCAGCACATAATGCTGTAAACTGTTTTATCGCTGTAATCTGTTGAATCCCAAATGCCAAAAGCTATTCTTCCATGTGCAGAGTCTGATATCTAGAACAGCTGAGCATTAACAGCCATCACCAGTATCAAGTCAGGCTGCTTTAGCATCTTTAGCACCATACTTACGATTGTGGAGTCACTCTAAAATCTCTTTCAAAGGAGAACTTCAGTTTTTTAGAAGACCTAGAGATTAAGAAAAATCCCCCTTTTTCACCCTTGAGAATGTATAAAGAAAATTTACATGGGTTATTAATTTACATTTCTCCTTGCATTTTACTTTGGAAAAAAACATCTATCTGCAATTAGTGCAGTTTATTTTAATTCACTAACTCATTTCATTTTTCACCAGACTGACACTTTTGCTGATTTCGATACAATGACTGACCGATTATTGGATGAAATTATTCAGCATATCCAGTTGTACAACCTCTCCATATCCCGAATAAGGTAAGCCTTATGGTAGTTAATAGTCTGTAACTTTTTGAGTTACGTGAGCAACACTCAGTGAAATTAGCTTTTCCTAAAGTGCTCTATGTTGAAAACCACAGAATCAGTGAGACTAATTTTTACATTGTTATAGATGAAAGAGCATCTTGTAGGCTGAAAAAACCCATGAAATGATAGCTAAAGGACTAACTGATAACTAAGTGAAACAGTCCCTCGCAAGAGCAATTTGTGCCATCCTTATGTTTAATTTAAAGAAAATACAGATGGGTTTTGTCTTACTGTAATTCTTTTTTTCCCGACAGTTTTATTGGACATTCCCTTGGTAACGTCATCATTCGATCTGTACTAACTCGGCCCAGGTTTCGCTATTACCTCAACAAGTTACACACCTTCCTGTCCCTCTCTGGCCCTCACCTGGGAACCCTCTACAACAACAGCACTTTGGTTAGTACAGGTAAGAGCTGGTGGGATAGCTGTGACTGCCTGTGGTCCATGGCAGAATGCGTGAGAGGACAATAGAAGGAGTCAGCAATAAATTGTGGTATGACCAGTGCACTGAAGTTGTGGAAAATATTTTCTGAAGGCTTTTAACCCACACAGAAAAAATTGCAAAAAGAGTGGCTTTCAGTATCTACTACAAGGTCCGTCACAGTGCTCCCTGGAAAACCCAAGGGTGTGCAGCAGTGAGAGATGACCCTGCTTCCACTTAATCTTCCACTTCTCTGGATGCTGCCAATAAAGAGAGGCATCTCCAGGGCTGAAAAGACACTTTTTTATCAGAATCAAATGTCCACGATGGAAAGTTCAGCCTTCCTGAGTGTTTCTGCTACCATGAGATGGAGAATCATAGAATCATAAAATAACTTGGGTTGGAAGGGGCCTTAAAGATTATCTAATTCCAATCCTGTAACAATGAGCAGGGACACCTTTAACACGATCAGTTTCCTCAGAGCCCCATCCAACATGACCTGGAATGTTTCCAGAGATGACATCTCCCAGAGGTTATCTCTGGATAACCTGCTCCAGTGTCTACATCCCTAATGGTAAAGAATTTGTTCCTTATAGCTAGTCTAAATCTATCCTCTTTTAGTTTAAAACTTTTACTTCTATCCTGTGGGACCCTTAGACTTTTCTCCCGGTTGATTAGGAATGAAAGAGTAAAAAAGACTTCTGAATTACAGTGCTATCTGCACTGTAGGCACATGTCTTTGATTGCTTTGCTTGTTAAGTAGCAAACAAGATAAAAATATGCACCAATTTTCATTCCAGGTCTGTGGCTCATGCAGAAGTTGAAAAAGTCAGGGTCGCTTTTGCAACTGACCTTCAGGGACAACGCAGATCTGCGCAAGTGTTTCCTCTATCAGCTCAGCCAAAAAACGGGTGAGTAGGGCTTGATGTGCCTGTGGAAATACCAAGGGCTATGCCAATGAGTTGTGCTGGATTGACATTTTCTCCAAGGAGTAAAGTAAATCTCCATTTTGCTAAGGATCTTCCTTTGAACACTCTTGTTTTCAGGAAGGGCGGCTCTTTCTAAAATCTAATATCCATTTTATCTGTGCATTTTTTTGTGCTGGTTATCAGAAAATATATTTGCTAAACTGTTAACATCAAACAAGACCTTTGTGCTGCATTAAACATGCACCTAAGTTTATATTCTGCAAGCAAGAAACATCATTCTTGACAGGCCACCACTGCTTAATTTATGCTACTAGATGAAAACCATTTTTCATTTCTTATTATTTTCTGTAAGTTTAACATCTCTTGTCGGTGGGAAATATGACTCTGTGAGATGAAGAGCAAATTTTATTCATGTCTGTTGTGACACTTTTGTACTAAAGAGAGATGTATGGCCTCACACTGAAAAAATGGTGTCTGAATAAAGCATCTTTTTACCCCTTCTTTGGTCTGTCATGAATAAATGAAATAAATCAGGCTTTTCTTAAGAAAAAAAAACAAGTGGGATCCTTTTATTTAAGCAAATGTTTTCTTTTAAAAGTTGTTTTTAATATTGCCTGTGAGCAAACTGGTGCCAAGTACGTAGTCACAAGGTCTCTACTTGATGTTTAATTTGTTTCTCTTACTTTGTTACACTGCTAATAGGAAACAAAGACTATGTTAATATGAATATAACATCTTAATTCTTAGTATGACCAACATAGACTTGTTTTTTAATTTAATGAATGCACTATATAGCATAATCAGTGACAGGAAGATGATGTGTATTGGCATTATTTGAATTTTCCCTTTGATTCCCTGGCTCTCATTTCCATGGAGTACAGTTGATGTCTGCTTTACTACTGTTGAGTTAAAATGAATTGGGTCTACACAGGATGCTTATATTGTAGCTTCCCAAGAAAAAGAATTCCTAATCATGTGTTGTGAGTCAAAGTGATTTGTTGTTTTTCAGTTTGGTAGACTGGAGATATAACACACTATAAATTAAGGTATTGTCCCTGAAAATACAGAAAGCAGAAATTTAAATGTGGAGACAGTTGCCTGAAAAGTCAGAATCATCCAGGTACATGCTTAGGCAAAATATCTGAAGAAGCAGATAGGTCCATATGTGAACATATGAGCTGACACAACTGAGTCAATACAGAGATGCCCTTACCTGAGCACCCTGCTCTCAGAAGTAGCAGGGAGAACCTACAGAAGACGAAATGCCAGAAGCAGTGTTGTGCCTACATTCCCAGATGACACTTTAAATCTCCAGCAACTTCTGACCTCCTTATTAAAGTAGAAGTCCCTGCTACTTTTCAATCTCTTTGAAAACTGTTTCTCATGCTTCTCTTAAAAAAAAAAAAAAAAAAAACACAACAAAAAACCACACAAAACCCAACAAAATATTCTTCCCTATTGAACCTCTTCACATAGGATTTTAGATATGGTAACACGTAGTGTTGCTTCTCCTACTTTTTAGTTCAGAATGAAGTTTCAAACTTGGTTTGATTACACAAGAAGAAAAACGGCTTCAGCCAGGTTTTAAAAAGGCAGGCAGCAGGACCTTTCTTTGTGGTGCTGATGGTTAGCTTTTCTGTGAAAATTGAGAAATCACAGTCATAGGATGGTTTGGGTTGGAAAGGACCTTAGAGGTTATCTCATTCCGATTCCCCTGCCATGAGCAGGGACACCTTCCACTAGATCAGGCAGCTCAAAGCCCCATCCAGCCAGGCCTTGGTTCTTGATGCTGCCAATAAAAAGAGGCATCTCCAGGGCTGAAAAGGTCAATTTTTTATTGGAATTGAATGTCCATGGTGGAAAGTTCAGTCTTCCTTGCCTCTTTGACACAAAGTGGGAGGGAAGCATGAAAGACAAACCCACAGCTCTTCTGTGTCCAGGATACTCTCTGGACTAGTAAACCAGATATTGGTATCCATTTTCTTACTTCTCTATTAAATGTGGGGATGGAGGGCTCAAGACACCACAGACATGGCAAACATCAGGAGCCTGTTTCCACAACTTATCAGTGGCCCCATTACCTCCAGGGAAGAGGGGGGATTCCTGGTTTCCAGTCAGTGTACCAGCAGTGTGCATTTATCAAAGGACTGCTGAATGCATGAATTGGATGGATCACAAGGATCCCTCAACAGTGATGTAACAGTATGACATTATAGCAGTGAAGTTGACTCCTTTTCTCCTTCCTCTCTCTATTTTGTTTGAGAATTGTGCTAACTTGTTAATTTTTATTTTTTTTCTTGATTAGAGGTATAAATATTTTCAAGATTAAGGTTTTAATTAGTCTTTTTTTCACAGTTTTTTATTGGCATACAGTTTACCTGTGTGGGTGTTGATAGGTAATGAATACATCTCAGAAACAGTAGAAATGTGTTTAAGCTGTTAGGAATATTTCTAAGCTTGTGTTGCATGTTTTAATAATTATCATGTGTTTTGAACTGTAGGTTTTCAAAAGCCTTTGAACATGAAGTAGTCATGCTGACACTGTGTGTATTTTTCATCACCGTGCTTCATTGTGATTAATGTATTTAATATGTTTGCCACAGGTCTTCAGTACTTTAAAAATGTTGTGTTAGTGGCCTCACCCCAAGACAGATACGTACCCTTTCATTCAGCAAGAATAGAAATGTGCAAAAATGCACTCAAGGACAGACACACAGGTATGTTTAAAATCTTTTCTGTATTCACAAAGCTATTGAAGAATTGTGGTTTTGTGCAGCTGAGGTCATTGCATTAGAAGGGTTTTTCATCAGCATAATGAAAACTCAAATGTTTATTTGATAAGGAAGAAAGTGTTCTCTTCCCACAGGAAATTACTGAAATCAATAAAAGAAGTATTTCAAGAAGCTTTTTGCCTGATGACAAAAAATAAAATTCAATCAGGTCATAATCAAAGGTTTCTTACTGCTTCTTCCTCTTCCCTCTAATTTTTTTCCTTTAAAGTGATGATAATAGAACTAGTTCTTGTCAATGTTTTTCTGTAGTCTACTGATTTACTTATATTATCTCACCTTTGTTACACATAATGAAATCTTTCTCAACACAACCAGAGTCAGGAGGTTTTCCCTTTCTTTCCCTTAGTGTTTGAGTGATTGCCAGATAATTTAAGGGACAGATCTAAAATTGTGTTGGTTTGTAATAAAATCTGTAAAGCACATCAGAACTCACGCCACTCAGAGGCCCTCCTGTGAGCTCAGGCCATGTGTTGTCCCAGGTATTGCCTTTGTTATTAGCAGTCTACCTCATTTATAAAATGTTTCATGGCTTCAGTTTGATACCATTTCTGGCAAAAAGTCTCAGTGCAATTTCACCTCCATTTCATATATGTGATTACCTAGAAATTAAGGTACTCTTTAGAAACAGAAGGAGACACCCAGGCCCAGTAATGAGCATGGTTGCCTTCACACCTCTTACCTAAATGCCAGCTCTTTCTATCCTGCCTCAGATATGAACTAAAAGGTCATTCTTTAACTGTCATACAGTGGTTATTTCTCAGGGAGATCCTTGACCTAGGAGGAGCCAGATATACATTCAGTGTAGGTCATTTATCAGTAAATCTTTCATGAGCCATAAACTCGTCAAATATCTACATGACATCCTCCCTGCATTAGGTTCCCCAGAGAAACTCAGTGGACCACTGTGTCCTTCCAGACTCTTTCACATTTGAGTCCACTGGCACTCTGAATCCAACCGCACTCCCCTGAAAGGGACAAGAGCATTCTCTTCAGTGGCGGAAGAAATGTCACTGATTGCCCAGGATTTTCTCATTCCTCATACTCAGATCTCTCCACATGACCAGTGCCTCCATGAGATTAACAGCACCCTGGCACCTGGCAAATCTTTGAACTGGCCTCCTGTCTCCTGCACTTTGGCCTTGCTTCCATTTTCCTTCCCTCTGGGACTGTAATTAAACGATACTGGAAGGCAAGAGAGGATCTGGGATCTGTGGCACGTAGGTGTGACGTCTAAACTCTTTTTCAGGTCCTGTTTACGCAGAGATGATCAACAACCTGCTCCAGCCTTTGATCGGGGCGAAGGACTGCACTTTGATCCGACACAACGTGTTCCATGCCCTGCCAAACACGGCCAACACGTTGATAGGCCGGGCTGCCCACATTGCCGTGCTGGACTCTGAACTTTTCCTGGAGAAGTTTTTCCTCGTGGCAGGACTCAACTACTTCAAATAGTGCCTGAAGTACGGGGTAACAGAGGCCAACCTTTTCACAGAGCAGAGGAGAATCCCTTAGCCAAAGGAGTGCAATGTTAGAAATGAGATCAGGTGGGACTTTCAAACTCTCCATTTCCATTTCTCTTTCAGAGAATAAAGTGCTATGGCTTTAAGGCGTTCAAGCTTCCAAGTATTGGTGCTTTTGGAAGAAATAAATATTCCTCTTCAGTTTCTATGTCTTTTGTCCACATAAAGACAGGAGCCACTTCTGAAGTACAGAATCAGAATAAGGCGGCTCATTCTCCAAATGTGATTGGACCAATATAATTCCCGTTTCTCCTGAATAATAAACCAGGAACTTGTCTGTCCTTGATTTAATGCTTATTTATGTATTAAAAAAGCTATACATTTGTAGCACTTTTGGGATAGTTAACACAAGAGGAAACAAGTGTATGTGAACTCAGGTTAAAACCTACTTTGTGATGAATTGAGAAGTCTGAAAACCATTTATGAAAGTTTCAGTGTTTCTGTTTGTTGGAAGAAAATATTTGGATGATTCCATTCATGATACCAATTTGTAACATACAAATTCTACATTCAAATAATAGAAAGGAATGGAATATTTTACATAAAATGAAGAAATATTGATATTTGTCTTTGAAAAGAAACCATAACTTTAAGTTGGGAAGAATTTTATTCAAATAAGAAGCTGCCAAACCAAGAGGAGTCTTTGGATTACTTGTAAAATATCAGTGGCATCTGTTCACATTTCTTCTGTTTACATTTATGAGGATCATAATTGTGCTTGTTATAACCTTAGAGGTACAATTTTTACTTTTACATTTGTATCCAAGTACATTTACCTTGAATTTTTTTTTTGATTACTCTGATTTGGAATTCAAAATACCCTTAAAAAACCCAAAAACTTAAAAAAGAAGGCTGGAGATGTAGAACAGTAAGGATTGTGGAAATCTCAAAAAATATTACAATGTCTTCTTGAGATCCTCTGCAATACCCTATGAATGCTTTGTTAATACCCATTTGCAGTGCTGTATAGTCCTAATTATTATATGGTTTCAGGTGGTTCGAACATTTAAAAATTTATTCATGTAAAGATATCCAAGTTGTTTTTAAGAGTTTGGAAAAGAATATATTTCTCACTTTTTAATTATTTTCATCAAATATTCATTAAGATTTTTATCAAAAAGTTATCAGATTTAAAGTGGCAAATTTCAATAACTTTCTGTACATTTTCATAACATTTTGATAAATTTTCAATGTCACAGCAGGTTTTTTTCAAAATAAAAAAGAGAAAGTGAATAATTCCTCATAATTATTTTTGTTTGGAAGGCTGGTAATTTTTAATGCAGCTATAGTTTGTTTAAAAACACAAAATAAACAGGTCTCTATATCTTGTAACAAAGACTGTAAAAAGAATTACAGAGTTGGGTTTAGGTGTCAAGGTTCTTATCAGTAAATTAAGATCAAGACAGTGGAGATTTCTGAAATAAGAGAATAAAAAATAAAAACAAAAACCTCACAGCCACAGGGAAACATTTGTACCTGCAAAAAGTAAAACTATTTTTTCTCAAAAAAACCACAAAAAAATAAGTGGAAAACTTACACAAAATCAATTCTAGGAAAGACTTGTTTTCAGGCTGGCAAATGCTGATAAAGAACAAGGCTGGTTTGATAAGGTAGGCGTGTTTTTAAAATAGAAAGGAGAAAAAAGAAATATACCAAAGAGTGAGATTAAGATTGACTAAAAATATGAAGGTATTTTACATATAAAAATCTTGTGCTTTCAAAGGGCAGAAATTATATAGAAACAGTTCCATGGCTTAATTCAATGTCAGCAAATTTTCTAAACATTAAATATTACCTCAGTATTATAATTAAATAGGTAAATACTATTTTCTCTTTTTTTCTTTTCCTTTTTATATATTGGCAATTAAAAGTCAGTTTTAGCCCATTAACAAATAAATTATGTCAGGAACTAAGAACTTCTGGTTTTCACTTCTTGTTTGGAAATTCTTTCTCACTTTTCAGCCTCAGCTGTCTAATGCCACCTACACTGACATATCACAGCTTACTTCTTCCTTGGTAAATTGTCTAGAGAATTTTAATATAACAGGACACGGAGATTGAGCTGTTATACAGTGCAGTGGTTTTGAGCCAAGATATGGATTTTATGTGAAAAAACAAGAAAAAAAGCAATCTCGAACCATCAGTAAGCTTCAGTGTGCTGTATGAGGGTCTGATCCACTTGTAAAAAGTGCTCAGGAGTCTGCCAACAAAAAATTTGGAAAAAAAAACATATAGAAGGAAGTTATTTTACACCTCCATACATGCCTGGTGTGTGTGTGTATTTATACAGTCTATATAAAGAAGTATGCTTATGCAAAGGTCTAACATATCAACTTTTGCAGTACTAGGTGTACTGAGCCTGACAACATACCAGTGTAACTGTTCTTCTGCTCAGATTGGTGGTTCTTGCCTTGCCTTGTACCCTGGACAGCATTTCCAGCCTTCTGCTTGCATGATTGTGAGAGAAGGGACATGTGGAAAGGTCTCTGTTTTGCTGCAGAAGTTGGTGAGCTTTTCCATGTGTTCACTTTGATGTCCTACGCTCCTACCAGTGCTCTGACTGATGGCGAAATACACCTAAAGGTTTCAGTCCTCCTGTACATCTGGAATTCTTTGATGGCTCAGTCTGATTTCAGAACTGGATTGTATATGGAGCTGGATTAGGTTCGTATAACTTACACCTTGCGAGTTATGCAGAGACCTTCCATGGAGCCTCAGAAAAATCTGGGAGATGTCATTCCTGTCAAAAGATAAGACACAGTTCCTTCTGCTGGCAGAATATTGTGGGATATATTAGCAGTAATGGTCTAGTTGAGTTATCATTTTAAGATTCTCAGAATAAACTCCCTCTCTTTTTCTTCTTTTGTTATTTTTAATGGGATGTTGCCTTGATTATGACTCTCAATATTGCAAATCCACTTAATTGTGTAGACTATATTACAAAGAAATCTGCACTTTCATTATAATACAAATCATATCTAAGTTGTTGGACTTCATCTGCTATAGCAATCAGCATGGACTTATTTTCAGATTTTTATTTACACAGAAAGAACTATACATTAAGAATGATCTTCATAAAAACAGCAAAGTAAATGCACAGTTAGCATCTTTGTTTCTGTCTCAACCTTTGGAATTTTAATATACTGTCCTTTCACATAAAGCCTTTTTAAAATAAATTTAGCTACATTTGCAGTATTGCTACAAGGATTTCCCTACAAACTGCACAGACTCCCACTGGCTTCATGTATCTATGGGGGTAGGGTTAAACTTTTAAGCTCAGCTCTCACATTTATAGAGGATAAGACAGTTTTTCAAAACTTTGGAGATAGGAGGGACAAACAGGAGTTTTTTGCAGCTCATCAGTGTCAGTGTTTGCTGTATGTGTTTCTTTAGTTAAGAAAAAACAAAGGCAGTGTTCCAGGGTTGTTTCTTTAGCATGTAGGAGGCGTATAACCGGCATGGAGGGTCTCCTGGCTCCACCAGGTGAAGTGCATTTGGCTATTGAGGTTTTCCAGTGTTAGAGATGAGCTGTGGGCTATAGCCCAGATGAGTAAGGTCTCTGGAAGGAAATGTGACAGCCCACGTGTAGAAAAAGAGGAACAGAGACTAAGAGAGGAGCAGATCTCAGGGCTTTGAAAGACAGAGGAAGCAATGGAGGGAAGGAAAGAAGACAAGAAGTTTCTGAAGCAATTTATAGCATTTGAAAGGACTGACATTAACTGTTTTAAAAAATTTGAAGCACTTGAAAACGGTACAGTTATAACAATTCAATGGATATTTATGATTATGCTTTTATTAGTAGCTGGACTAATAATTTCCAATATTTTGGGGCTTCTAGATTCCACTGAGCTCAACTTCTGAAATAATTTAGTATCTTCTGGAATTGGATATATTTTTCTTAAAAATATGACTGGAAAGAAATTGCAGTATTGACTAAGTGTGAGTAGATGAGGGACAGAATAGCAAGTTCTTTCTTTCTGCAGTTGGGCTGAGGATTTTCAAGGAGTTGGTTTTGAATCTCCTGGAAATTGAAAAGCCAGTCTCCTGGATCATCTGGAGGTGCTTCTACTTGGAGAATCCTAGAATTTGGCTTGTCTAATTTCATCACTTAATTTGTGCTTAAAAATTAGTTGCAAAATTAATTTATTCTATGAAAATAAAAATCTTAATTTCTCTATGTAGGCAGTGAAGAGGGGCAGGTACTACTGAAAGTCTGCAGGAGTGATCCTGTTTTCTGTTTTGGTGACATTCAGGATTACTACCCTCTATTCTCTGATCAGGGGACTTATAATAGGACTCACTATTTAGGTATCCAAGACATAGACAAAAATTGGAGGTCCATCATTTGAGGACTAGATGACATTCTTAATTATTAGCTCTTTAGTTTTTCATACTTGGGCACAGTTTTTGACTGTACACCTTAAACAAAAGCAAACACTAATCATAAAAAATAGAGGCTCCTTTAAAACTTTCAGGAAATGTGTCTTTTCCCACCTTCCAATGGTTACTCATTTTCTCTGTAATGAAATTCATAATTTGTTTTCAAAATCAGGTCTGTCCACTGACAATAGGGGAAGTTGAAATTCCTTAGCTTTAAAGGATTATTTTTTAAAGACTTGAAACCTTAGTACAGAGCTTTGGAATTACCTACAGGAATACTGAGCACTATTTCACTTCAAAGCACTTCATAAATAACCACTGACCAATACTCTTCACTGTTCCCTTGCCAGAGAAGAACCACACTTGAGAGAGAAAGCTGTTACAAGACAGTGTGAAAACTGGGAATTCAAGAAAAAGTTTTCATTATTTGTAGGTTTCTCTGGTGCTTTTTGTATGCTAAAAACCCAGTTATCTTCCTTTATACCTCTGCACTTGAAATAGCTAAGTGGTGATGGAGGAGAAAGGTGAGAACTTCTAATAACAAGGTTAGACTCTTGTGCAGGTTTATGCAAATATCCCATGAAATTTAATATATAATGAATAGTCATGGGGCATTTCTGCAGCAGTTTTAGCATGCAAATATGTGTCAGCCCAACTGAATGATTATTTGCTTTGTGGACTTAAATTTCCACTTATAAATTATTGTCAGAACAGCTTCACATATTTTACTCCAGACGGTTATTTGGATGCCAAAGGTCATGTCCATGGAGAACTCTTATGGAATGTTTTCCTTTATTCCAATACCTATGCTCAGCAATTTGGATATTGAATGTTGTTGCATAATTGACAGTTTCTGGCTCAAATTACCTCCTCCCCCAAATTTTCAGTGTTTATTCAATCATTGAATTGGTTTCAGGTTGTAAATAAGTATAAATACAGGTCTATTGCAGTCAGAGTTCAACTTCTTTAATGCAGTTACTTTATGCTTGTAGTATCAGAGTCTCAGGGCAAATAATCACTGAATTAAAAATTAGGCCAATTATGTTTGGAGTCATAAAATACATAGTCTGAGACTTGTTTAGCTGCAGTTCACTCTTCTCCGGTTTGGTTTTGCCTTTTGAGTCAAACACAATCACAGCAAGGCTGTGCCTCTAGCTCTGTTCATGTTTCCCTTAATTTACTATTCTTTGAGATGCCTAAATTGCCCTAAACTGCTGTTCTGTTTTGTCCAGACATCCCCACACTTGCATGGTCACATTTTCATGACCTGACTGCACCTCCTCCAGAGACTGTAAAGTCAGCACAGATGGCAGTCACAAATATATCCAGCACTGCCATTCCATTTATCCAGGAGTGGGACATCATACTCTCACGTTCATCCCAGTCAATTTTCTCAGCCCTTTATGAGGACTGTTATACACCTATCCAGACATCTTACAGATGACAGTATATTTTGTTTCAGAAGGAACAGTTGGCAATGTCCCAGCCTAATTCCTGTTCAAAGCAGGATTATCACAAGCATCATGGTAAAGGTCAGCCCTGTCTTTGTCCTGCTGAGTCTTCAAAACATCTGGTGATGAATACATTACACCTCCTCTGGATTACCTTTTCAGCAGCTGTACATTTACTCCTAGGGAGGGGGGAAAAAACATAAAATCCAATTTGAAGTTTCTGAGCTGCAGTTTCTTTCTACTACCTTTTCTTATTCCACCTTTTTATTCCATGGGGGCAGTCTTGCTTCTGGAGTACTTGAAACTCCCTTTTCCATACATTCAGACAGCTCTTTGTCATTTGGCATCATTTCTGCTGGACTAGATAAGCCTAACTCAGCCTTCTGAGGAAACTCAGAAGCTGTGTGCTTAGACCCCTCACTGTCTTGGTAATCCTTTGCTGGGCCCTGTCCAATTTCTCAACATTGAACTGGGTTTAGGAGGCTCCAGGCACTGGCAAACTCCCTTGGATAGTAACTCTGCTGCAAACAGGTTCCTTTCTCCTGTTCAGGAGGACCTCAGTGGCTGCTGGCACTCATCACATCCTCTTCCTGACTGAGGCTTGAATCCAAAGAGCTGGAGCTCTTCTCCTATTGCTACAATTTCAATCTTCCAGCTTGCAGCCCCCTTTGAGTTAACCTTTACTTTGGGCACAGCAGCTGCTGTTTCTTCTCTATTTTAGTGAAACTCTATAATACATATGCACTTCCCTAAGAGAAATCCATGCAGTGAATAAAAATACTTATGAAACAGTTTAATCAGTGTTAAACAGACTGCTTTAAATGTGCAGATGAGTCATGCCTTCCCCTCATAGGATAAAAGCATAAAGAATAAATATGTATAAACTCTTCTCATGCAAAAGGTCAGACTAAATTAACTTCTGTTACAACCTTGAAACTTGATTTCTCTGCTTTTGAAAATTCAATTCTCTACTTTCACCCAAAGTGCTTCAAGATCCTATTATCTCAGTAGCAAACTAACCATATCTGTCTGAAATGGATTTGCACACGTATGTGCCAGAAGTCCATTGGCTATGTACTAAATCCATGGAGCTTCACGTCTTCAAGTATCTTCTGCCTCTGAAAATATGAAACTGTGACACAGTGAATAGTTCTGCTCTTGCTGCAGTCCAGCCTGCCTTCCAGTCTTTGAAAGATATCAGCTACAAACACAAACTATTTATCTAAAGGAACAAAAAAAAAACCTCCTCCACATAAAAGTCCTGTAAAAGTCTCCAGTAATTATTTTGGTTTTGAAGTGGGTGGTTTGAGTACAGTGATGACCTCAGTTATTCTATGCATACTATAAATGGAGTTACACTCATAAGTAAACAGATTTTGGTGCTGAAAACTCCAATACTTAAGCAACTAATTTAAGAAGTTTATCATTCCTTCCTGAAAGCCTAAGTGCTAGCAGAAATCTAGCTGTTCCAGTCCAGGAGACACTTCCTCTTTGCTACTTGTATATGGATAAGACTCTGTGCATCATTCCCAACTGCAGAAAGATGTCAAGGAATTCCTGCTACAGTATCATATACGGGGCTACATGCACAGGAAGGGTTGAAGAAGAGACTGTATGTTCCCAGACACTGTTTATATGTACTATACCCTACTTAGAAGGAAGCTGGTGGTGATCACTGAGTCTAACAGGGTTCTGTTGCTTTTGGGGGGAATTTATGTCAATTATCCTCCAGATATCCTCTGTGAAGGAGCTGCTTGTTGGCTTCATCCACCTCATTGGAGGAAGGAGATTGTTTTGTAGACTGATTTGTCAACCTCTTGGCACACCATTAGCCAACTAAACTTATCTGAGCAGTCCTGCATTCGATGTGTGTTATCTACCACCTCCATGGTTTCCATGGTCAATGCAACATGTCAAACTGAGCTGCCCTATCTCCAGAGAAGGAAGCTTATCACCATCTTTTAATTTTCCTTCACATCAATCCTCTTCAACCAAGCATTCGTTTTTAAGCTGATAGGCCAATGATTTATCAGCTTTGCCACTCTTCTTACTAATTTTAGTCTCGTATATATTTGACTAGGCATCCAGTTTGGGAAATTAGCTATTTCTTTTTTTCTGCAGTTAAATCTTCTTATGAAGTATGAGGGAGATCAGTCTAGACAAGCCATGGTATTCCTTTGCAACTGTATGTCCAGGAAAAAACCAAAACACAAAAAACCACAAAAACCCACCACCAAACCCCCACTAGTATTCTGCAGTGTATTCTATGTTTATTTTTCACTGTGTTTGTTTTCCAAGAAAAAAGATACACGTAACGTTTGTCCCATACCTTTTTGGATCTCCAGGTGAGTCAGAGTCTAGGTATAGCTCTGATAGATTGAGAAGGCAAAGCTAAACCCTCCTTCGGTCTAGGATGTGACTGGAATATACCCCACCAAGATGGCAGTAATAACAGGGAAAGCAAAGAGAACAACTTTCCAAACCCTACTCAATTCACCAAAATAAATCAGTCCAGAATATTATTGGATATTTGGGAAAAGTATCAGTTCAAAACTAAAACACAGATCAGTTTATTCCAAAACACAAAGTTCAGACATAAATTGAAATTTGTGTTGGTGTTTTACTACTTTGATTTGTCTCTAATAATAAGATTCCTGAAATGCTGAGCACTTTAACCTAGAATTTGTTTTCTTGGACTTAAACTATGAATGTTTTTATTACTGAGGGGTTTTTTTTAGCCAGAGTCTTAGACTCAGGCCTCAGTCATGACTATTTACATAGACTCGAGCCTCAGTCATATTTATAACTCCCTTAATATATACTCATGTCTTTAAAAAAAAAAATAAAAATTGATCTTAAATCTCCATCTTTTAATTATTCTTAGACAATTAACCACAGCACTTGAAACATCAGAGAATTAAACTTTATTTGCAGAATTACCTTCAATGAACAGTACCAGCCTTAACTAGGAAGAGTTGCCTGCTGGGAGATTTTCTTTCTTGTTTAGAGGGAGTTTATGTTGATGAGTCTAATTTAGTCAAATAAAGTAAGTAAGTGAATTCTGTCCTCTTTCTTAGCCCTCTGTTCTGTGCTGCAAATTCACAATCAGGCACTTAAAACTAAACATTCTATTTTATGTTATAAACAAAACAGGTCTGTGAGGCAGATCAGATGATGTTTCATCCTGTGTGCAATGTGTGAACACAGTTACTTTTTTTGACAGTTTTTGACATTGGAAACATTATTTTGGTTTAAGAGTCTTAAAAGGAAACCTTGATGAAACTTTCTTAAAAGTTTATTAAAACTGTAACCCTCAAAATCAGGCTTTAACTTTTTAATAGGTAAAGTTAGAAATGTCATTAGAAGTAACTTCAGTTTTACAGTATCCATTCAAATGGAATACCTAACTTAATGCTGCTGCATTAATTCTCAGCTCAGTGGTAACACCTAAAATATGTTACCTATATGAGGGACTGTGGCTGATGCCAAATTCCTGGAAGTGTTCAAGGCCAAGTTGGATAAGGCTTGGAGCAACCTGGTTAAATGTGTTCACCTTCACTGTTCCTCAGCTGACATTTGGAATAGAATTCTGTGGACAGGAGCAAAGTTCTGTGAAGATCCTGTGTTTCAAAGAGTTATATTTTACTTATTTTATTAAATATTAAGAAAATTTATCTTGGAATTAAAACCTACTGTCTCCTGTAAATAATTACTCTGAAAGTGCTTCTCTTTAAGCACACTGTTATAGTTTGTAGTTATCAAAGGCAAGGCTAGAAATTTTTTTAAAAGAAATTAAGTGTTTCATTTTGGGTTTCAGTTCTTTGTCTATTTTTTTTTTCTTTTTTTTTTTTTGTTATTATTGGACTGAGTTTCAAATGAGTGATACTTTAAACATTCCTTTTTTTTTTTTTTTTCTTTTCATAAAAAAACCTATACCAGTTCAAGAGCTTGGCCCCTGAACTTAATAACCATTTGTACTCTTGCATAGTGGATGTAAAATACTAGCACTGGATATATGCCCATGTTTGTGCACACAAACTGCAAAGCAAAGCATCAGAGATATATCCTTCTCCAAGTACTTCCTTTGGGGCTGATTGTTCAGGATAAGCAATATGCATGATATAACTGGTGCATGTAACAGTAAGTGCAACCTTCTGCAAATTTGAATTTAAAGACAGTAACTTGATACTGAGGCTGAACTTTGTAGATGAGTAGTCTATGGTATTTTTAATTATAACCATTTCTGTGGTCTGAATATGAGTACAGCTGATTCTGGCATGTGACACTACAGGTTGGACGTTTAAATGAGACATTATTACATTTGATTGAGGCAGTTATGTTTCTTGAAAGTTGTATTTCAAATCAGACACAAGAGGCAATAATTAGAGGCTGAGAGCTTTGAAAATCTGTACCATTTATTTATTTATTTTTGAGAAACCAAGATTTACAACACATGCTCCGTCTGCCTCTCTCTAATTTACTTCCTTTTCCCTAATGAACATTTGTCAACTGTCACACACTTCAATTTCCTTTAGCTATGCCTATCAAGATTTAAGTGAGACTTATGTCGAAAAACCAGAACTAATCTCACAAAGTGGAAACAAATGAAGTTGAGTCGATTCCGTGATATTTTAGGGAAAATGGAGGTGCAAATCAATTTTCTTGAAATGTAGGTTCTGACTCAACAGCATTCACAAAGTCTTTACTAAAGGTCTGATTGTGAGAAATGCTGGTCAAAGGCACTCTTGATATAATGGGCCAGATGCCCAAGTGGATTAACCTGATGAAGAGCTTTATACAGCCCAAGGATCTTATGGAATGGCAACCAGCAGCATCCATGGCATCTCAAAATCAGACCACCAGAAGATAGCAAATGTCCTGGGTTCTTTTTAAGGCCAATCTTTCCAGTTGGTCAAATGTATTTTAAAAGTAACGTCTTTTTAGACAAATGCAGACCTCTCCAAGGGATCAAGTCAATGGATTAATGTGAACGGATCTTTATAGGTTAAGGGAAAGGGCTTCTCATTTTTAAATCTACTACTTTTAATCATGACCATACAAAAAAGCTGAAGAACTATGACATGGTCCCTTGTATAAACAAGATCATGAATGTAAAGCTTATAATGCCACTGTGAAATTTTAATGCTTATTTATTATGGTTATGATGAAACCTGTATAATAAAATGATGATTATGATAATAATAATAGTAATAATAATAATAATAATGAATAGACATCAGTGCCAATATGATTCTACTATTTTTCTACATATGCTTTATTGTGGCATTTTGTGTAGCTTGTGTTATGTGTAAAGAAATGTCAATAAAATCTTTGCTTCCTTTTGTCTGTACTTTCTGTGGCTCTTGAATGTTAACAAGATCCCCAACTCCTTTTGTCCATGCAGAATGTGGCAAACATGATAGTGATGAGGAGTAGTAGAAGAAAAGATGCTCAAGTACTAGCAAATAAATGAGCTATATGAAGGACTGTGGCTGATGCCCCATCCCTGGAAGTGTTCAAGGACAGGTTGGATAGGGTTTGGAGCAACTTGTTTGAGTGCAAGATGTCCCTGTAGGGGGGGCTGTAAATAGGTGGTCTTTAACATCCATTCCAACCCAAACTATTCTGTGATTCTACACTTCAGACTGTCCTTCTGTCTGAAGAATGAAAACCATCTCTGACTTACTGAATAGGTAATTAATAGATTACCTTATCATGGTCTAAAAGCCCTTTAACATGGAGCTCTTTTTGTCCAGTTAAATGAATGACATCTTGAAGTAGAAAAACCCTGAAGGCAGAAAATTAGTAAATGCTTGGAAAGATTTTTTGTAGGGTTTTTTTTTGTGTTTGGTGTTTAAGAACTCATTTTAGGAATGTAATTAATGAGTAGCCTTGAGTTCCTCTGGCCCCTTATATTGAAACTGTGAACTTCCTTACACCAACCTTCACACTGTTACCAGGAAGTTACAAAGATCAGTGGGTTGGGGTTGGAGGGATTTTCTGCTTCTTCCTGACTCTATGGCAATGTCTGTACCAATTAACCAAACAAGGAAAGGACATTTCTGCTTTTTGTATAGTCAAATGAACTATAGAGACTCCAAAAGACAGCAAATACACTCAGAAGTTGATGGAAGCCCTGAGACAGACAGGGAAGGAGTGTAAAATTTACGGGTTTGCGGCCTTCATGTTGCAAACTGATTAGTAGTCAACAAGTGCTGAGTTGTTGTGCCTGTGTCTGTACAGATAGTTTTTTTCCTGACTAATTTCTCAATCATATCAAATGGCAGAGGGGGCAGCAGCAGGGAGGACATAATTAGTGCATTGGTTAAATGCATTTTCATTTTGATTATAATTACATTCCACTATCACAGACAGAAAATTAATAGACCTCACCTTAATCCCAGCAAGTCATTTGTCCATCCCCAAAATGTTGCAGGAGTTGGCATATTCTGTGTGATTTGGCAGAATGCACCTCAAAGCAATCAGGATAAGCAGATAAGCAGATAGTCTGGTCAGTGCCAGGAGAGACTCATTGTCACAACTATGCAGGAAAGACAAACCAATTCTACCTTTATAATGTGTGGTCCAAAATGGTATTTTCAGCCCATTATTAAAAAAAAATTAAATAAATTGGTAAATACCCCTCAGTATTCCTCTGAATCAAATTGTGGTAATAGGGAAACCAAATCCTCATCAGAATCCAATGTTATGCTGGGGACTCCTAGTGAAGAAATACTGTGATTTGGTGCTGTGGCTCTCCAAAACAAAATATGGAACCACAGAAAGATCTGTGGTTCAGCCCACACCCTGGTTAGGTTTTAGTCACAGACACATGGGATTCCTAGGCCAACAAAGTGAGATGAGAGCAACACTTTGAAAGACAGGTCTCTGTTTTCTCAATGACAATGGGCAGCTGCCTATAAGTGGCTCAGTTTGGCCCTTTGAATACCTTCTTAGGAGAGTATAACAGTAAGGGCTTTCTGTGTTCTTGAGACATGAGGGCAATCACAAATAATTCTATAGCAGGCACGAGCAATAGGAAGTAGAGCATAGGTCACGTGAGCTTTTATAGTCTCTTCAAGACTAGAGACAACCTGCTTTTTTCCTTTATGGTTGGAGAGCCAAATGCAAGTTAGCTGGTAAAATGTTATTCTCTATAACCCAGAGTGAATCTGGTCTGAAGCCTGTTCAATACTTGGAAGCAAAGTGAATTCTGCATGGCTCTAGCCTTTGAAGGGCTGGGCTTTGGACCTGTTCTCTGAGATGTAACTGATACCTGTAACTGCAAGCTGTGCTCCTTCCCATAATATTTATATCCCAATTTTTCTCTCCTTTTCCTCTAACCCATGTCTCCCACACAAACACATCTTTGTTCCCTGCCCATCACCAAAGATAGAACCCAGTGTTATGAACAGTTGACAGTAAAAGTCAGGAGGCAAAGAGACTGAATTAGTGCAGACCCAAATGCCTATTTACACAATTAAGACTGCAATTAGTAAACAAATAAGGCAAAATTGGTCTGCTGGACTTTGAGTTAATTATTGTGCTGGAATTGAGGGGATAATTACTGAAGAAAAGAGTAAGTGTGGGTTTTCTGCATTTCATCCTTCCAGGTGTCATTGGTCACACACTGATTTGTACAGAGTGCTGGCATTAGCAACCTGTTCTTCTGCTTGGATGGTTCCTGAGAGCTCACAGTGGCTTGATCAAGTTTTCATTATTGTTCTCCCAAGAAGTTTCCTCTCTGATTTGAGTCAGAGAAGGGGTGAGACATAAATTCACACACACTGTCACACACACACACAAACGTACACAGAGATACGCATTAGCATCTACTATATTTACGGTTAATTCTGCTGCAGGCCTTAGTCCAAATAGGCAACTAATACCTTAATATTCATAAAAATTTGCATACATTTGGGGAGACAGATGAAACTTGGGCTGTGCTTTTCTTCCTTGAGCCATGAAATTGAAACTAAGAATAAACATCCAAAGTAGAAATACTATCTTTCATCATTGCTTGCCTTTTCTCCCTCTCATTACACGTCTACTGCATTTTGTATTCAAACTCATCTGTTAACTAATCATTTGCAGCAATTTTTGTGCCTGCATCTAGATTCTGTTCATCCCATGGGCATCGTGAGGTGTCTATTGCAGGGACTGCACAGAAATACATAGAAATACAAGAAGTCTGCCTAGCACTGTGCAGTAGGGATGGAGTAGCTCAGGAAACACTGTCTAAGCTCCACCATTTTCTCTTTTTTTTTAGACAGATCTGGTGATTTCTCTATCAAATTTCAAATTATTTTGGTGGGTTTGGACATCAAATGATAGAATCTTCTCACTTAAAATTCTATAAACTCTTGCCACAAACATGCTTCTTGCCTGCTTGTATAATCCAAAACTGCCACAAGCTTTTTAGCTGCAGAGTTATTTATGGATTACCCTGTCTGATCTTTAATGTGGAACATATACAGAAATACCTCTCTAGTGCTTTGCACTACCGTACTAACTGTAAAGAAGCAGCAGGCAGCTCAGAAAGAGCATCCTTAAGAAGCTTTGATAAATCATAAAAGCAATCTGTACATGGCAGGGAGACACAGCCAGTCAAAAGGAAAGCTATTTTAAATCACCAGTAATAGTAACTGCAGACTCTCCCTGTCTGGTTCAGTCTGGGTTAGATGTGAACATTCCCAAGAGCATTTTGTGCTTCTGGAGCTGTGATTGTGTAACTGGCTTGCTGCCTCCTCTCCTTGTGAATGGCTTTGACAAGCAAGGTCTTTGGCAGGGCTAAGCAGGCAGCAGGTCTTTGCTTCCATTCTAAGTGTTGAACTCTGAATCTAAGCTCGTGCCTGCAAGTCCATGTTACTTCCTACATAGTTGAAATTCCACTGACTAATGAACCACTGGGGTGGCA